GAGGGGGCTGACATGAGGACCCAGACTGTGGGGGCGATATGCTGACTCTGTAAACCGCTTAGAGAGGGCTGAAAGCCCTATGAAGCGGTAGATAAGTCTAACTGCTAACTGCTATCTACTCTACCCTGTGGGATTTTCCTCTGCAAAACGTCAGTGAAGACTCAGCTCTCCGAAGACTGTCGGAGGCTGAAGATCTAAGATCTCCCACGCTAGGCAACGGCCCTGGAGCCAGTCCTCCACCCCATGCCAACTTTTCCTGGGGGTACACCCTACTGCAATGGGTCTAGGGCATCTCACGTTGGCCGAATCGCTGTGGGACAACTCAATTGCAGGACGAGAGAGTTGGACGAATATCAGAGAAATGGCGGAACAGAACCATGGAAGGAAGGATGCAAAAGGAGGGACCGAATGAAATGGGAACGAGAAAAACTAAAATAGTTTCTTAATTATTTTAAATAAATTGAGTTGTCCCACCCCGAGCTGGCTATGGTGAGTTGGCCACGACACGTTGCCCCATTCTCTGCTGTAACTGGCCCTCCCCAAGGTGTTTCCACGCAGAGGAGGGGGTTCACATCTATGGCCACGAAAGAGCCCCAGCAGGGGTGAAATCCAGCAGGTTCTGACCGGTTCTGGAGAACCAGGAGCAGAAATTTTGAGTAGTTCAGAGAACCAGCAAATACCACCTCTGACTTGTCCCAGAGTGGGGAGGGAATGGGGATTTTGCAGTTTCCTTCCCCTGCCACGCCCACCAAGCCACGCCCACCAAGCCACACCCACCAAGCCACACCCACCAAGCCACGCCCACCGGATTCCACCTCCCTCACCTGGACCTCAGGAGGGGGACCCTTCTGACTCTGCGGAGGGAGCCGGAGCCCGCACAGCTGCTCGTCCAGCTGCCGCACCTCTTCCTCCCTGCGCCACTGCAGCTGGTCCATGCGCCCCTCCAGGCACATCAGTTCGCCCACCTTCTGCTGCAGGCTGGCCTCCAGCTGCAGCACTTTGTGGCGGAGAGCCTCGTTTTCCTGCAAGGGGCACCAAGAATGTTATTTATTTATTTTAAAAAATTTATTTTATACACATAAGCACATCAACAGAGACAANCCCCCCCCGGATGTCAGGTTCTCCCTTTTAAAAGTGGGATCTCCAACTTTGATGACTTTTAAGGCTTCTGGACTTCAACTCCCAGAATTCCCCAGCCATGGAAACTGGAAGGCTTCTAGACCAACTCCCAGAATTCCCCAGCAAAACCAGCCTTCAAGTTGCCAAGCTTGGAGAACTCTGTTCTAAAATGTCCCCCCACTCCCCCAAGCGAAAATCTGAGGTCCCACACTAAAGTTATCTTCGCAAACTGCCCTCCGTTAGTTAATCTGTCACTCCCAACCTCTCTGCTACTGAATTTTCAGACTGCCAGGATATCGTGTGGCCGTTCTGCCCCCCCCCATCCAGAATGCAAGGAGTTCGGCCGATTAGGACTGGGGGTGGGGTGGGGGCAGAAGGAGAACTGGGAATGAACCTTGAGGCCATCTGGTCCACCCTCCCCAACCCCCTTGTTCAGGGCAATACAGGCAGTCCTTGCCTTATAACAGTGGTTCCCAAACTTGGCCACTTTAAGACTTGTGGGACTTCAATTCCCAGAATTCTCCAGCCAGCTCTGCTGGCTGGAGAATTCTGGGAGTTGAAATCCACAAGTCTTAAAGTGGCCAAGTTTGGGAACCACTGCCTTATAACAACAGTTGAGCCTAAAACCTGATAAAAGCTGAAGTGAGACCGTGCTTAAGTGAGTTTTGCCCCATTTTAGAATCTCAACCGTTGTTAAGTGAATCGCTGCGGATATTAAATTATTAATGCAGTCGTTAAGTGAAGGGGGATCAAGAGACCCCGGGACTGCAAAAGTCGTAAGTTCAAGCCCGTTGCAAAGTCTCCAAATGCTGCGACGGTCGTAGGTGTGGAAAATGGCCATCAGCCCCCTTTTTTCAGTGCTGTCGTAACGTTGAACGGCCACTAAAGGAAAGGGCGTTAAGTCGGGGACTATCTGTGGTGACTCCAAAGTCTCCCCCCCCTGGGAATAGGGTGCCCCCTTTCTGCTGAAGCCCCTCCATGAAGGAGGAGCTGCCACCCGCTCTTCCACTGAGGGAGGGGTCTGCAGAGGTTCAGGTCAGCCCATGCCCCCGGGGAGGGGGGGCGAGCATCGCCCAAGACCCCCCCAGCGTACCTTGTGCTGGAGGGCAGCCGCCGCCCCCTCCGAGCTCTGCAGCTGCTCCGCCAGCTGTTGGCACCGCTGCACCTGGGAGGACAGCTGTTGCATGAGGGCCCTGTTCTGTGCCTCCGCGTTGGCCAAAGCCTCCAGCGCCTGCGGAGAAGGACCCGCCTGCACCCCCTTGGCCAGGCCCCGGGGGGGTGGGAGGGAGGGAGAAGGTCAGCACAGAGCATCAGTAGAGGTTTAACGGCTCTCAGACCCCCTCGGCCTCTGAGCCCCTCCCCTCCCCCCGCCCAGCATGTCAGAATGGGGGGCTTCCTTGTTCTTCTCCTTCTCCTCTTCCCTATTATCTCTTCCTTTAGCATCAGGTGACGATCCCTTCGTTTACCTGTTATGGTTTATGATGATGGCATTTTATGATTACGATCCTGGCTTATCACTTGTCACTTGTATGTTATACAAGTGAGAGATTATGCGCCAGAGAGAAATTCCTTCTGGGTCCAATTACGTTTGGCCAATAAAGAATATTCTGTGTTGTGCTACTCTACTCTACTCCATATTTTCTATTCTATTCTATTCTATTCTATTCTATTCTATTCTATTCTATTCCCTCTATTCTACTCTACTCTACTCCATATTTTCTATTCTATTCTATTCTATTTCCCTATTCTACTCTACTCTACTCCATATTTTCTATTCTATTCTATTCTATTTCCCCTATTCTACTCTACTCTACTCCATATTTTCTATTCTATTCTATTCTATTTCCCTATTCTACTCTACTCTACTCCATATTTTCTATTCTATTCTATTCTATTTCCTCTATTCTACTCTACTCTACTCCATATTTTCTATTCTATTCTATTCTATTCTATTTCCTCTATTCTACTCTACTCTACTCCATATTTTCTATTCTATTCTATTCTATTCTATTTCCTCTATTCTACTCTACTCTANCCAGAATTCCCCAGCCAGCATTCGCTGGCTGGGGAATTCTGGGAGTTGAAGTCCAGACATCTTCAAGTTGCCAAGGTTGAAAAACACTGTTCTAGTCCAACCGCCTGCTCAAGCAAGAGCCCCTCGACCATTCCACACAATCCCTTCTTGAAAACCTCCAGGGGTGGAGCCCCCACAACCTCTGGTGGCCAGCTGTTCCACTGGTTAATTGTCCTCCCTGTTAGGAAGTTTCTCCTTCTTTCCAGCCTGCTTCTCTCCCTCATCCATGAGTTCCCTTCCTGAGTCTCGGCCTGTTCTTCTTGGGGGAGAAACCCCACGATTCCTTCCCTGCTGGGACCCTCCCCAGCCCCCCCTGCAAGGAGCGAGGGGCCGCCTTCCTCACCCGGCCCAGGCGCAGCTGCTCCTGTTCCTCCTCCTCCTGCGCCCGGATCTGCTGCTTCAGGCCTTGGATCTGCCAGGAGAGAAGGGCCCCCCCCAGTCACCCACCATCCAAGGGCCCCCAATTCTCTGCCCCCTCACAACCCATTCAAACATCTTCCCCAACAGATGGGATGATGACGGAAGACAGTTCATTTAGTGACCGGGAGTTACAGCGGCATGGAAAAACGCAACTTACGACCCTTTTACACACTTACGCCCATTGCACCCCCTCCCCTTGTTATCACATGATCAAAACCCAGCCGCTTGGCAACTGGCATGGACATATGCCGGTTGCAGCGTCCCCTCAGTCATGTGATCAAATGCAGGTGCTTGGTCACTGGCTCATACTTATGACGTCATTCCCTTCTGACAAGCAAAGTCAATGGGGAAGCCTGGCTCACTTAACAACCACGTGACTAATTTAACAACCGCAGGGATTCACTTAATGACTGTCCGCATTATCGTCGGAAATGTTGGGCTCAACCCTGGTCATAAGAGTCGGAAGGGACCCCAGAGGTCTCCTAGTCCACCCCCCTACTCAAACTCCGTAGCTAAGGCTGGGCCGGGGGGGGGGGAGGGCTTGTCTCACCTGGTGGTGGAGGCTCTTGGCCAGTTGCTGCTTCTCCCTCTCTCGCTCTTCCACCCGCTGCTGGAGACCCACCACCTCCTCGGCCAGGTGGCTCCGCTCTCCCTGGAGGGCAGTGAGGGACTCCACCAGCTGCTGAAGGCCCCTGGGGGCCACGGGGCAGAGCAGCCCAGGGGATGGCGGCTTTGAGCCTGGATGGAGGAGAAGGGTAGCAGGGGAGACCCAGGAGAGGCGGCCTGAGCTGACACTGGGACTCTGAACTGCCCCAGGGTGGACCATGCAAGACCCCCCACTAAGGGCCACCCTTCTCCCCCCCTCCCCAACACCTGGAGGAAGGCCAGCCCCTCCTGAGGGCACTTCAGAAAAGCAGAATAAGGGAATAACAGAGTTGGAAGGGGCCTTGGAGGTCTTCTAGTCCAACCCCCTAAACCAGGGGTCCCCAACCTTCGCAACCTTAAGACATGTGGGCTTCAACTCCCAGAATCCCTCAGTTAGCCATGTTGGGGAATTCTGGGAGTTGAAATCCCCAAGTCTTAAAGTGGCAAAGGTCGGGGACCCCTGCCCTATACTCCTTCAGACAAATGCCCGTCCAGCCTCTTCTTGAAAAACCTTCAGTGTGGGAGCAGCCACAACTTCTGGTGGCAAGCTGTTCCCTGGGTTTATAGTTCGAAGTTGCTTCTCTCCTGGATTAGTTTCCATCTGTTGAATGTCTTATGGAGATTCTCAGTCATCCTGGCCATGGTTGACCCTAAAGTGCCTTTTTTTCCCAAGAGGCAACTGGACTTTCTGGATTCTCTTTGAAGACGTTCCGTGTCTTCACTGCTTCTTGTTCTGCCCTCAGCTGCCTTGGAGAATAGCTTGACTCCCTCTTCTTTGTGGCAACCCCTGAGATATTGGAAGATGCTATCATGTCTCCCTAGTCCTTCTTTCTATTAAACTAGACCAATGTTTCTCAACCTTGNAAGGAAGGAAGAGGTGGCTTGGACTACTTGGATGAGGTCCAAAACTTGTTCTCTGTATTGGGAGAAGACCTTGTGTGTGTGTGTGTGTGTGTGTGGTGTGTTATCATTAAACAATTGGAGTGTCTGTTGTGACTCAGCCTGGGGTGTAGAAGTTAGGTTCCTGTCAATCCCCCCCCCCCCCCGCCCAAGTTAAAGGCTCAAGTTGGCAGGTTCCTTTGGAGGCCCTTCCCAAGAGCAGCCAAGTCCGTGCCTGGGCTTGATGGATACCAGGTTTCCCCAAGGTGGGATAGATAGCAATAGCACTTATATACCACTTTACAGCCCTCTCTAAGCGGTTTTACAGAGTCAGCCTCTTGCCCCCAACCATCTGGGTCCTCATTTTACCCACCTCGGAAGGATGGAAGGTTGAGTCAACCTTAAGCCACTGAGGCTCGAACTCCTAACTGTGGGCAGAGTGAGAAATGCTGCATTCTAACCACTGGGAAGGAAGGAAGGGCACTTAAGACTTATTTATATATTGCTTCACAGAGCTTTTACAGCCCCCCTCTAAGCGGTTTACAGAGTCAGTAATATTGCCCCCAACAATCCGGGTCTTCGTTTGACCGACCTTGGAAGAAAGATGGGAAGGCCGAGATGATAATATTTTGCAAAAATGATCCCCATTGCTGGGATCCTTACGTTGGCATGGATAAATAGCTGCTGTACAGGAGATGTTTTATGCTAGGAAAATAAAAGATGGGCTTGTGTTTTGAAATTGGCTATGTTTTCTGGGAGAATTGCTTTTTCCTGTGATGAAAGCAGCCATAGATTATACATGCTTCAGTTACGTTTGTTCCCAGAAGTTAGTTGGCTGATGGCCTTCCATACCAAACCCGATGGAAAGTCGCCATTATATTGGAGACAGATGGAAAGGAGTTGTCACCTGGATGGAGAAAGAGATCAAACACACCTATGGTCCGCTTTATTCCCCCGTGCACTCCTGCTACCTTTGCAATCCAAAGAAGGAAATTTGCAAAGTAGTTTGGATTGCAGAACGCATAAATCAGCTGCATGTTATGGTGATTAACCTCCTTCCAACATGATAATTCGTACTTTGTGGGGTTTTTATTACATAGTGGATTTGCATTGGACAGAAGTCAGTAATTATTTTTTGGAAGGCGTTGCATATATTTTCCTTGGGATTTGGGTAGGTTTCCTAGAAGTGTTTATCTGAAGGCAGTTTTGGGAGCGGAGGGAAAGTTGTGCCTGCCCAAAAGCACAATTTATTTCCTAATATTACTGAAGGAAGGCAGAATTCTGTCTGCAGCCGTTTGAGAATGTGAAGGGATAAATGCTATTTTAACAGCTTGTGGAATGAGCGTCTTCAAGCTGAGAATTGAATTTAAAGGATCAGGCTCCCCGAAGTGCCTTCAGCAACAGCTTTTCAGATAAATGCAAGCTCCCCCTTCCTTCCAAAACAAAATGTTAATATCTTTAGGAAAGGGGCGGTGGTGAAAGTTTTATCTTAACTCTAAATATTTGCAAGTTAAGCTTTCGCTTTAATTGGCAGGCACTGTGTGATTGAAATGGTTTGCAAAACAGGAAGGTTGTTTATTTACAGTTGCTGCAAGGAAGGCTTTCTTCATCTGATCGAGGCCATGAGTAATTGGTGAACTTTAAAAATGAAAGCCCAAAGCGGATCCTAAATTTATCTGAAATGTAATGCAGGTCAAAATATGAGGTGGTGGTTAATTGTTAAATCTGGGTGCTGCCTACCCACAAAGCTCTCATCAGGGAGGGTTTTGTAATCTACTTAAGACCTCTGGTGTTACATAAACGGTGAAGTAATTCCATGTCTCCAGAGGCCTTGCAATCAGGTCAGCGATGGGAGCGGGAAACTATCCTTTTAACTATGCAATTTATAAACTCCACCTAAACTTATTTGCAAGTGTCCCTCCCTCTTTAAATAGGGATGCAGTGGCTAAGAGGCTGAGCTTATTGATTAGAAAGGTTGGCCGTTTGACGGTTCGATTCCCTAGCGCCGCGTAACGGAGTGAGCTCCCGTGACATGTCCCAGCTCCTGCCAACCTAGCAGTTCGAAAGCACGTAACAAATGCAAGTAGAAAAATAGGTACCACCTTTGGTGGGAAGGGAACAGCGCTCCGTGCGCCTTTGGCATTGAGTCATATGACCACGGAGACGTCTTCAGACAGCGCTGGCTCTTCGGCTTTGAAATGGGAGATGAGCACTGCCCCCTAGAGTCGGGAACGACTAGCACATCTGTGTGAGGGGAACCTTCACCTCCCTCTTCAAAGTGTCAGATCCAAGTAATTTTAGATACTGGAAAAAAAAACCTTCAGGTTTGGCATGGCAACTATAAAATGTGTTTTTCTTTGTTCAGCCAGTTTTATTTTATCCCTATCTGCAAAACACTTGTTTTTTTTCCCTATCTTGTGTTTTCCTCTGCTTGAAAACCGAGGAGTTGAAACTGTAGAGGAAGTTTGGCCTTGGGAGTTTAACATCCACTCTGTTTTCAGGGAGTTATATACAATCCTTTGTATTTATCAGTCTGTTTCCCACGCTGGGCATGTGTCTGCCAGGAAGTGTTTATAATTCATACGCTTGGATTTTCAAAAGACTGCACCTTTCTTCTCCGTTCAAAACAGGAAAATATAGGCCAGCCAGTACAATGCGTTGAGTTGGTTAGCGTGTTGAATTGAACACCTCTTTTTATCAATTTGGTACCTTGTGTAAATTGGGAGAAAAGTATCCAGAATTTACATCCAACAAATTATTCTCTTTGTTTTTTTGGCGCTTTCGAGTCAGTGTTGATTCTTGCCAAGGTTTTTTCGGAAATGGTTTATCCTTCCCTCCTCCTTCCTAGAGGCTGACAAAGAGCAACTACTCGAAAGTCACCCAGCTGGCTTTGTGACCAAGGCGGAACTAGAACTCCTGGTTTCCCAGTTTCAAGCCTGATGCCTTAACCACTACACGAAAACCTGCTGGTTGGGAATTGACCATACACAATACATTTAAGAAAGGAAGCCTGCTCCTTGTTATGCATAAATAGTGTTACTTCTTTTTAAAAAAAAAAATATTACGCAAAGCAGGATTCAGCAGTGGTAAAGAAGCTAAAATCAAGGGGATGTCACTGTCGTTTACTAGGACTAAACCTTGCAAACCAATCTTGTTTCATACACTGTGCCTCAAAATCCATGACACATTTTCAAGAGTGACGGATCTCATCTCGATTGCATCATTAATGCCATGCTTGCGTTCTTTTGAGAAGACGACAAGGCTGACTGGTGGCGGGCCCAATTCTCTCCATTTTATTTTTCCTGTTTGGAAAAAAAATGGAGAGAAACAACCTAGAACGGAGGAGAAATTTCCTGACAGTTAGAACAATTAATCAGTGGAACAGAAGTTGCCTCCAGAAGTTGTGAATCTTCCAACACTGGAAGATTTTAAGAAGATGTTGGATAACCATTTGTCTGAAGTGGTGTAAGGTTTCCTGCCTAGGCAGGGGGTTGGAGTAGAAGACCTCCAAGGTCCCTTCCAACTCTTTTTCTGTTATTCTGTATTACTATGGAATGGAAGAGTTTATCTGTCTAACACACACACACACACACACACACACACACACACACACACACACATTAGTTCATGTATTCATCAGTGGTGATTGTAATCTTAATTAAAAAGTCTTGCATGCATACTTCCTATAAGTTCTATTGTCAGGCTGGTTAAAACATTCCTGGATGTAGCCGGTATTAGGACAAATTCTGTGACATTCATAGATAGCCAGTGGAATTGACTAGTAAACTACTAGTGTGATTACAGAACGGATGCATTCCGAGCGGGATTTATCCTAGTCAGTTGAGTTACGATCTCCACCCTTGGGAAGACTGGCAGGGGGAATTCTGGGAGTTGAAGTCCACAAGTTGGACACTGCTGCTTTGATCCAGGAAGAATGAACTGCTTCCTGCTGCTAGTCGATGGTGGGGATCTTAATTTTCATGGCTGTACTTGGATTTTCAAGCTTCCTCCAAGCAACAATAATGCTGTATTGTTGAGTGGA